ATGTCTCTGACTCTGATCCTTGTTGGGAGAAATTTAGCCTACATCCCTAGTCCTTGATGGAGACGGGTTCCCCATTGGGGATTTAAATCCCCAAATTTTTTAATTAAAAGTTTATTTGTAGAAATGTATTTATTTAAAATAAAGAAAAATTAAAATATAAATAATATTATATATTTAATATATATAATCGAGATCGGGTGGGGTGTGATCTTCACTCTCCATTCCCGTCCCCATTCTCAATCGGTTATTCCTATTAATCCTATCTCCGCCTAGTCCCACAAAGGCAGCCTCCATTCCCATCCCGCCTGATCGAGGAGGCTGGGTACTCGGTGGGAATGGGGAAAATTGTCATCCTTACCCCCATATTGTATAGCCCATAGAACAATAAATTTTAAGCCAAATAAACCCAAACATCTTTTCCTCGCGCACGCTCACGGGGGCATGCTGTATATGTGAACCCTGAATTATTATTAGCTATTTGCTTACATATGACCAACTTGCACAAGTAGACGCAATTAACCAACAAATGAAAACTAAACTCCTCTTTCTCTAATTCTCTAATACAAATCCTTCTTTTAACATGGTGAACAATTAATTGTACGACCTGTACAAACAACACGTGACAAGTTATTGATGAAGAATGGGACGGTGCTCTCGCTTAGGTTGTAAAAGACACAAGAGATGAATATAGCTAGGTTTCCGGTTTCACACAAATTAATAATCAGAGTGTGGATCGATACAAGAAGAGCTGCCGTGAGAACGCCTTCAATATCAGAAGAAGAAGAAATGCGAAGCAGGCGGGCGGCATGCATGATTGTCAAGAGCAACCGACGACTCACTAGCTAGCTAATTAAGTACGTAGCTACTTGAAATATTATCGATCAATCTATCGAGTTCAGTCATCAGTGTAGTGTATTCCATGCCAGAGCAGTAGGGTTAAATAACAGCGTGCATATATAGTCTGTTGATCAGATTGATCAAAATTATTGATATATTTAATGGTTTTTTGTCGTTTTTTTTTTAATTTAGAACTATTCAGGCAATTGGTTCTGTTTTATCCTAATTTTTTTCCCAGGCCAAAAATTATTGAATCGGTCGACGACCCATTAACTCAGGTGGTCGAACCGTTGACCTGTTCAATGGTTTTTCGTTATTTTGTTATTTTTTTAATTTTTGTTGTCAGAATGGGCCATCCGTTTGAACTGAACAGTCAAATTGTCGACTCAAAAATTGGTGGCCAGAACGGTTTCATTTTCAAGTCGTATGAGTCACAAGCTCGTATGACATAACACGTATGGTATTGCTTAATGGACCTTACACACTTAATTTTTTGCTTGTAATTGTTTTGGTTAGAACGGGTTGTCCATTTTTTTTATATTTTTAATTGGGAAACGTCCAGGCAACTAGTTCCGTTTTATCCCAATCCCGGTCCCTAGCCAAAAACCGTTGAATCGGTCAACGACCCATTGACCCGAGTGGTCAAACCATTAACCCGTTGACCCATTTGATGGTTTTTGGCCATTTTTTTATTTTTTAATTTTTGTTGTCAGAATGGGTCGTTCGTTCGAACCGAACGGTTGAACCGTCAACTCAAAAACCGGTGGTCAGAACGGTTCCATTTTTGGGTCGTATGAGTCACACGCTCGAATGACATAACACGTATGATACTGCTTAATGGACCTCACACACTCAATTTTTTGCTTGTAGATTTTGTTGTTAAAATGGATCATCCGTTCGAACCGTCGACCCGAAAACCGGTGGCCATAACAGTTCTATAATTTTTTGCTGGTAATTTTTTGTTATCAGAACAGGCTGTCCGTTCGAACCGAGCGGTCGAATTGTCGACCCAAAAACCAGTGGCTAGAATGGTTCCGTTTTCGAGTCATATGAGTCACACGCTCGAATGACATAACACGTATGATACCACTTAATGGACCTCACAAACTCAATTTTTTGCCTATAATTTTTGTTGTCAAAATGGACCATCCGTTTGAACCGGATGATCGAACTGTCGACCCAAAAACTGGTGGCCAAAACGGTTATGTAATTTTTTTCTTGTAATTTTTGTTGTCAAAACGGGCCATCCGTTTGAACCAGACGGTCGAACTGTTGATTGCCAGAACGTTATTAACAATGTTTATCAATAATAGTAAGTAATTATACTATTTAATTAAATAATCATTAATGATAGTTTTAATAATATTATTTAGTTATTTTTAATATAATAGTAA